CGAGTAGACCGCGCTGTTCGACCCTTCATCCTCCCACATTGGCAACTAGCATTCGTGTAAATCTTTTTCGTTCGTTTACGAGTAGTCAACCGCTGCTTAGTCGGCACGCTGCTGTGCGGACCGGCCGTCGTCAAGTTTTCGAATAGACGGGTTTGGGGCTCTGGGACCACCATCTTCTCTGCGTGAGAGATTCGTGCATGCGGAAGCGGATGAAGTAGGGTGTCTACCGACCGCGTGTCTGATAGACCCCAGCAACTCTTCTGATTCGTCTTGCGGTTGCAATACAGCAGGTAACGGCCTATAGCGGCGTGGGTAGCTATTGACCAAGGCGGTCACCGTAAAGTGGCGGCCGGAAGGGCCCTCGGGCAAAGGGTGGAGGCCATCGGAATAGAGAGCGCACCAGACGTAAAGCTTGTCTCGGAGAGCTATATGCCCCGTGGCTGAGTTGGTTACAGCGTCCGACTGTTACTCAAGTGACATCGGAAGGTCGTGAGTTCGAGCCTCACCGGGGCAGCTGTCAAGTAGCGTTGTAGCTTTTTGTCATCACCTCTCACTGAATTCGCTGGTCCCCCACGCGTACTGTACGATTAGCCTTCATGTCAGCATGCCGCCAACGGCGTGAAGATGGTGCTATCGTATATCCTCGCTTTGCCTTACTCATGTTCCGCAGTGTTCCGTACCGAGGTGCCGCGCGCTGTTTGATCATGGGCGGTAGGCAGGTAAGGGTCCATAGAAGAGAATAACGATACAGACACCGATCAGCGAATAGCATACGCGAAGGAAGGCGAGCACAGCCATGAGTACGCGGGTATAACAAGATCACTACGGGTATGACGACTGGCACGCCTCCAAGACTCCAGAGCCAGTGAGATGTCGATGACCCGCCGAGGTACAGCGGCTCCATGGGCATGCTGCGGCAAGAAGTCGGAGAAGCGGGCGACGACCATCACTGGTACTTGTCCTTGTATATCCAGGCCAGCCCGATATCGCTTGCGCCCTGCGCGACCTGTAGGAGGAACGATGCGTCCATCTCATGCGCATATACCTGAGACGAAGCAGAGGGCACTTACAGCTGCTCGGTACCACTTCGCCGCCTCACGCTTGTCTTTCTTGCAGCCCTTCCCGTTGACGAGGCAGAACGCGAGCTCCTGCTGCGCGTCCGGGTCCCCGAGGCGCGCGGCGACGCGGAAGTATTGCTATTTTCAACGCAGGCAACGACGGTGAGCACATGCGCGAAACCCCAGCCAATGTGCGAAGCGCAGAACTGACCACAGCCATATCTTTGTCCTTCTCGACGCCCCACCCGCGATAGAAGCTCTGTCCCACCTCGTAGATGGCAAGGACCATCTCGGACTACAAGCAACGGAGCCATCAGCACGCGACGGAATTGCGAGCACGCACGGACTGGACTCACCCGCACGGCACCCATATCCATCCCCTCCTTCCCCTTCTCCAAGTCCGACACCGCAAGCTCCGCTGCGCGCCTCAGCCACCTGAACCCTGCGACCTCGCTCTTCGCGCAGCCCCATCCGTGCCTCTGCGCGAGGCCCCACATAAGCATGCCCACGCCACACCCGCCGTTCAGCGTCGCGGCCTTCTCGAACGCGGCCGCCGACTCGGGGAGCCGGTTCTCGAGATGGTGCTGGATGCCGAGCTGCAAGTAGTCTTGAGGCGTCTTGGGGTCGGTGATCTCGACTTCTCCGGCCTTCGCGTGTCCTGCAGAGGACTTTGTACGGAAACGGTTCCCACCTGCAGTAGACGCTGTCGGTGCTGGTGCGGATGGTGCACCAGCTGGCGGTGGGTTTGGCGATGAAGGTTGCGAGGAAGATATCGGGGTCGGAGGCAGCTCATAGTAAGAGTAATTCGAGTAGACGCTCATTTGAGACGGTATACGAGACGACAGACCACCCGTGGTTGTTGCTTGTGCTGGCGCAGGGAGCAGTTGAGGTGAAGTTTGTGGATGCCCACCCGAGAACGAACCTGGCGCCGCAGGACGCGACCCTTGTCCTGACGACGAACCTAGCGGACTCGGGCTCAACCGCGGACTCGCCGCAGGAGAATGTGATGGCGACCGCATCGGCGAGGGCGGATGGTGGCGCGCGTTCCTCATGAGCACCTCACGCTTCCTTTCCGCATCCCCCGCGGGGAGCCCTGGTCTTGAGAAGTTGACGGTCCCGGTCGCCACTCTTGACGGCACCCTACCACCCTTCGACGGCCCGGAAACTGCATAAGCCTGCTCATGCGGTTCCGGTTCCGTGGACACGACGACGGTCGGGACGTCCGGCACGTCTTCGTCGGGCTCGTACACGGAGGGCGGATCAACGCCGGACGAGCGCCAGGTGTCGCGGTACCTAGCGGTGATGCTATCGATGTCATAGTTGGACGAACGCACCGACTCATGTGGGGCGTGGCCCTGCCCACCGTACGGCCCTGACACAGCAGGTCTACGGAACGTGCGCGTACTGGAGGGCGAGGAGGGCACCGTGCCCGCGTCCGAGCGACCGTCCCACGAAAATGTGCGCATGCTCGCATCATCGTAGTACGAGGACGCGCTCGAAATCGACGAGCGAAACTGGGTATGTAGAAGGGGCGAATGTGGCGGGACGGGGGCCGCGTTGACAGCTGGGGAACCTCTTGGAGGCGTTGGGAGCTCGAGGTTCGCCGGTGTGTGGTTAGGCGCACGCCTTGACGACGTCCTCCGGATGAGCGTCCCGAGCGGCGACGAGTCGTGTACGTTGGGCGTGAGCTGCGGGCTCACGGAGAGCTCGGACATTCTGTCGCAGTCTTACGAGAAGCAAGCGCAGGTATGGAGGCGAGGTGGTGGAGGTTAATAGCAGAAGGCATCGCGGTCGTCGCCAAGCGGCACCGATGCGCGGGCTTGGCCACCATCCGAAATCCGCTGCACCAGATCCTCTCCTGATGCATCGCCGCGCTCGGCATCATCACCGCGTAGCCACACAGCACACAAAAGTGGTTTCGAACCACAAGAAAGCAGACCGCACATCGTATTATGTGTGTGACTACAACTAAAACGATCAATGCTGTATTCGACGCGTCTAGAGGTACTTTTTCGCCCGCTTGAGGTCTGCGTACGGGTCCGGCCTCGGCAGCTTGCCATACCGCGGCTCCTCCTTCTCTGCAGCGCGAGGAAACCCGAGTGATACATCAGCGCAGTTCCCAGGCAACTTGAAATCCAAGTTGACTCACTAAGTGTGTACTGGTAGATGTGTGAGACCGTCTCATCCCAGACCTCGCGCCACATGTGCGCCCCGCCACCTCGAGTGCCGTCGAAGCCGTACTGTTCGGCGAAGTTACGGAAGTCAAAGCCAAACCGATCTGCCTCCTCGAACACAGGGATGTCAACGGGCTCGGTGGCTGAGGTCTGCGGAAGCATGAGAAGAACGTAGCGGTGGTAAGGCGTGCCACGCTGCGGGTGTGGGGGGACATAAGGCGTGTGGGTGTCAAGCGGGACGGTCGGGACCGGCGTGAATGCCGACAAGGGGATATTCGGTTGCAACCAGTGGAGGTAGGTTGTGAAACTGCGATTTTCTGGGTCCGGAACGTCGAGATCGATCATGAGCAGGGTGTATAGACGAGTATTGGTGTGGAAAAGTGTGGTAGAGATCTCGGGTGGCCTTCGAGTCTATGATCCCACAGACGGCAAGGTCAGAGCCGCGATGTACTCATTTGAACCAGTGACAGACCTGCTCCGGGACGAGGAAGATACCTGGCTCAACCTCTTTGAGCTTTCGCTTCACACGCGTACGGAGATAGTTGCTCGCGGGAGGTGGCTCAGCAAACTTGATGCGCAGGTCGAAGGAAGGGTGCAGCTCGGGCAGTAGATCTGGGACGACGTGCATTTGATAGATACGCTCCATCTGATACCATGCATGAATATGCGAGGGATATTTTCGAATCAACGAGTCTAAGTAACGTACCAGCAAATCCAGGGCACCCTCTTCTCTCCACTGCTGCTCAATGAGATGCCTATATATGGGCTTGCTCATATCCGCTGCACACCCAGTTAGTAAACATTTTGGACGGGAATGTTGCGAAGCCACTCACCCATGCCGTTCCTCGCCTTCCACCTCACGTCCGGCAAGTTGACTTCGCTTTGGATCTCCAGGATATCCACGCGCACACGCATGCCTTGCAGCGCCGCCTCGTCTCGCTCACCCTCTGGCTTCTTCTCCTCCGCCTTGATCGCAGCCCGCAGATCCTCCAGCTCCTTTCGAAGGAGTTTCGCGTCCTTCAGGATATAACGCAGCGCGTAGTCGTACGCAGGCTCGACACCCTTCGCGATCGGACGGCACCACTCACGCGGGGCTTGGGGCGGCGGTTGCCGTCCACCACCACTCTTCTGCTGCTGCCCAGCTGACGAACTTGCGTTCGCGACCGCACCGCTGAACCCATTCTCCGCCTGCATGCCTTCCGCCGCGCTAGACTTCGCCCTCACAGACGACGTGGGCGGGGGTGGTGGGACGTCGGCCTGCGGATGCAGAGCTGCCTCGAGAGTTGCATTGCCGCGTATGCTTGCTAAACTTGGAGTGAGGCGAGGCACTCGGCGTAGGGCTAGCATGGCCAGGATGAGTGCTGGAGGCACCGTACACACTGCGAGCTGGTATGCTCATAAATTCTGAATGAGCGCCTACACCCGAGTGCTGGACCGCATTTGGTATCCGTCGTGGTTCAGACTCTCGGATGGGTCGAAAGCATCCGGCTGTGTACCACCCCCTTGAGGTGCCCTCAGGTCATCTCATATAAACAAAGATGGCGTTCATGGGGACCCAACGTCCTAGCGTCTAGAGATGCCACGCATTGGTCAAATACACAAGACAGCGTCTCCCGCACCTGAAGTCTTCCCAGTGGGCCGATTTCAGTCAACCTACGAATCCCTTCAGCTCGCTGACATACTCATTGCAGTACAACGTGACTGAACTAAACATCGAATGAAGATGAGGTGCCTTTGAACTTCACCGAAAAAGACATTGGTCTTGCAACTGCCCCAGTGAGGCTCGAACTCACGACCTTCCGATACCGCTTGCAACGCTGCTAACAGTCGGACGCTGTAACCAACTCAGCCATGGGGCATGCAATTTCAATTGCGATATAGAGAAACAGTACCATCAACTCCCGAGAGAACGTCGACTCTCTCGGTTTTCCACGTGATCGCGACTCCCGAATTCTCACCCGGACAGACGATACCGTAGCCGCGGCTGTCAGCACTATCATCCGTCCCTACAGTCACTTTTTCACCCTTCTCCCTCATCCCATTGGAGGTCAACACAGAGCTTAACTTGACCACAGCGTATGTGGACTTACGAACGTTAATGGATATCGTGGGGCGTTGTTCACACTGCGTGGTCGATCCGTGTATATGAGCCGTCGCGACAAACCACAATTGGGTGTCTAATTGCAATCCTTGTCGTGCGCCTTCCTGCGCCATCAGATTCACGCTGCTCGCATTACAGGAGGGGACCTATGACTTCCTCTTCTCCATCAATTATCTCATCCGCGTCTTTAAAGCGACCCTCTCCGGCGATGATAGGTCTGCGGCATCCTATTCCCCTGCATCCTCATAGCCCTCATGCCTTCTGCCAAGTCCCGGCTGGCGAACCTGTTCGCCCTGTTGCTGCTGCTGCTCGGTGCAACAGAGGCACGACGCGTCCCGACCAATCCTCTGTGGGTGAAGCTCGACGCAAGGGCCCAGTCGGCGTCGACGGTGGCCAAACGTCAGAGCACGACATTCCCGATCTACACTTTCACCCAACCTCTGGATCACTTCTCCGACACTGGCTTCACGTTTGAGCAGCGGTACTGGCTCAGCGACCGTCACTACAAGCCTGGCGGCCCCGTCATTGTCTTTGAGGCTGGAGAAGGTCCCGGCGATGATCGCGTACCCATCCTTGACACAGGCATTGTTGACATCCTCGCCAACGCCACGAATGGACTCGGTATCATACTCGAGCACAGATATTACGGTAAAACTCCACTCTTCCTTTCGGTCTGCTGCACGGTCGCATTGCTCACAGAACATTCGCAGGGGAATCGGTGCCCGTGAAGAACTTCACCACCGATTCTCTGAGGTACGTGTCGACGCACTAGTTCCGCACCGCATGGCGTCCGACCGATAACATTCGCGTCTGGACAGGTGGCTGGATAACGAACAGGCAGCTGCAGACTCCGCCAATTTCATAGACAACGTCACATTCCCGAACATACCCGGCGATCTCACAGCGCCAGGCACACCCTGGATCTACTACGGCGTAAGAATCGTCGCCCTGCACATTTCGGAAGCAGACGCGTCCCATCTCACGCACCACATGTTGCACAGGGCTCCTACGGCGGCGCGCGTGCCGCGCACATGCGGGTGCTATACCCGGAGCTCGTCTTCGGCTCCATCGCGTCCAGCGCCGTGACCCACGCGACACTCGATGACTGGCGCTACTACGACATCATCCGGCAGTACGCCCCGGCCGACTGCATCGCGCAGGTCGAGAAGACCGTGTATGAGGTTGACAACCTCATCACGAGCTCTCAGCCGGAGACACGGCAGGCTATCAAGGCGGTCTTCGGACTGTGGAACCTCACATATGACCCTGACTTTGCTTCGTTGCTATCAGTGCGTACCTTGTGGTCCCGTCACGGCAGAACATGACTGATAGATGGCGCAGTACCCTCTGGGAGCATGGCAAGACAATAATTGGGATCCTGCAGTCGGTAGCACTGCCTTTGCTGACTTCTGTGACGCGCTGGGTCCTCCGGACAACGCCGAGGTCAATACGATCCAAGGTATCACGGTTAGCAACGCGACCTTCAACTACGCGAAGTACATTAACAGGGTAATGCTCGTCACCGCTCTTCAACTGAGTCGCTCTCAATCACATTTCCGCATAGACGTATGTAGCGAGCTGCCAACCTCCGGAAACGCAGGACGAAGTGAGCCCACCTCATCCTAATCGTCGACCTTTCTCCAACACCTTTCCACGCAGTGCTTCGGGACGATCACCGCAAAGGACGTCTACCTCAAGACCGACCTCACCCAGACCTGGCGCTTGTGGAACTTCCAAGTCTGCACGCAATGGGGCTTCTTCATGGTATCATCCCGCTACGCCCTCGCGTTCTCTGGCACATGCGCACGAGCTCAGAGTGCCTCTCTTTGCAGACTCCGCCGCCAGACCCGGCTATTCCACGGATCATCTCGAAGCTCATCACGCAAGAATACGCCTCCGTCATCTGCAGACTCGTACGTGATCGTTGATCATCCTTACTCACACGTGCGCTTGGCCAATGCGGCTGACCTCGTTCGCAAGGCCTATCCGCCTGGGCAGTACTTCACGGTGCCCGCCGAGCCGAACATCACGGCTGTGAACTCGCTCGGTGGATACAACATCGCGTACGACCGTCTGGCAATTATCGATGGACAGGGTACTTGCATGACGTCCTACAACACGTTGTCTAGCCTGCTAATCGTCCTCATCTCCCCGGCTAGATGACCCATGGAGGGGGGATACCCCACATAGTCCTGCAGCGCACCCTCGTCCTGATACGACGATCCGTCCATTCAAGCTGATTCCTGGTAAGGATACCCCATGTTCAGCCTACTGTTTGGCATGAATTGCGACTGATGGGACGCTTGTTCCTGAGGCGGTATACATCACTATGACGAGAACGGTCTGGCGGACCACAGCAAGGAGCCCCCGCAAATCCGGGCCATTCATGAGCAAGAAGTTGGGTTCGTGAAGGCGTGGCTCGAAGACTTCAAGCCGTCTTCCACGTCGTAGCAGTGCCCCCTGCAGCGCTTAGCATCACTGCTGTCGTTTCCGACTCCGTGGTTGAGCGCTTTTCGCAGTCCCCGGCATAAACGAGACTGGAATTATATCGATGACGGGATGGAAATATGGATGGTATGTATGGGACGGTTGAGTATGGATATCAACAATTGTCAGGTGGGAATACAGAATTGAACGGCACTGTCAGAGAAGCGATAAGAATACACAAATGGACCAACGAGATGTGGATGCAGTGGTGAAGGAAAAAGAATGAGGCGCTCTAGTCGAGGTCCCCGAAGTCCTCGAAGTCCGAGCCCTGGTCGTCCTCATCTCCAGACGTGATCTCCACATACTTCGACACTACGCCGCGCGTTGCCCGCTTGGGAGCCTCGCTCCGAGGCTTTGGCGGCGCTGGAACAGCGTCGTCATCCGAGAAGTCGTCGTCCGATACTACCGTCTTTTTCGCAGGTTTCTTCGCAAGGGCACTCTTTGCAGTTTGACTGCTCGAAGAGAATTTGCGGGATGCTGGCTTCTTCGCGGCCGCTGCAAGTGGCGCTTTGCCAAAGAAGTCGGTCACCGCAGCCTGCTTTCCGTTCTTCTTGGGCGGTGCCGCGTCCTCCATGGCATCGTCGCCGTCGCCGTCCGGCGGTGACTTTTCTGCTTTCTTTCTCTTCGGCGCAGGCTTGATATACGTGTCGTCACTAGACTCTATCTCCACGTCCGGGCTGTGTATAGTTCGTTCAGCGGACAATTCGACCATGATCAGATGAGACTAACCTCTTGCGCTTCGTCGCCGAACCAGCCTTAGCCTTCTCTTTGCCTTTGTCCTTTGACGAGGGTGGCGTCTCGAACTCGAACTCGGACTCGACTTTGGCTGTCGCTTTCCTCTTGGCCGCAGGCTTAGGCGGTAGATCAACCATCTCCACGTCAGAATCTGACTCAACCTTCATGGCGGCCTTCTTGGCTGGACCAGCCCGCTTCTTAGGAGGAGCGGGCACAACTTCTTCGTCATGGTCATCCTTCTTGATGACGACGTCCGAGCCGGAAGGTACCGCAGCAGGAGGTTTCTTCGCGGTCTCGGAAGTCTTCCTCGACTTTGCCGTGGACTTCCCCGGTTTGAAGTCTTCGTCGTCGTCGTCGGCTTTAGGCTTCTTCGGCTGGGCGAAGGGGAGCTTGGCCTGCTTCTTCTTGCCCTTCTTACCACTAGCCTCTTCAGCCGCACAAAGCTTGGCCTCCCAGTCCTGGCATGTTTTCTACATATAGCTGAGTGAGCAAGGAACCTATGGAACAATGCAAGATGCAGAGAGTTCACCTTCCATTGCTCAAGGAAGGCGTCGAGATCTGTCTGCCAAATCTGAATGGGCGTGAGGCCGAGGAGGGTGAGAAGCTCGGTCTCCTTCTCCTTCGCCTGCTGGAGGAGCTTCTCGATCTATGGAGACACGTTAGTTCAGTGACTAAGTAACTCTTCAGATATGGTGATTGACCTTCTCCTTCGTCAAACTCCAGATGGCCATACCGAGCAGGTAGTCGTAGTCGGTGGCGTTACCCTCCACATCACCGCCTTCTTCGTCCTCAACGACGTCCTCCGTCTCTCCGTGAACCTTGGCCTTAGCCACCTTTGGGAAGGGGCGGAATTGCTTCTGGCGCAGCTCCGCAACGATGTCGGCTTTCTTCCGGTTTGCAACGATGAGCTCCTTGTCGACAATCATCTTAACAAAGCGTGCTTGATTGTTCAGGCGATCTAGCTGAGTCTGCAGCTCGTTGGCCAGGAAGTCCTGCAAATTTGTTAATCTTCAACGTTGTCATGAATTCGATCGAGGAGTAGAAAGATCGCATACCTTGCGCTTCTGATAGTATGCGAGACGCTTGGGATAGAAGTCCTCGATGATCTCTTCCGGCGAGTTGTACTTCTTGATCTTGCCGTCGAAGTCGAAACAGACCATGTTTCCGGTGTTGATCTTCGTTGTCAGCTTGAAAAACTCGTGGAAGCCTTGCTTCTCCGCGGCCTCCATACCCTTCTCGTTCATGGTGATCACGAAGTGAACGTTCATGTTGTTATGGTACTCTTTGTAGTCCTGCGAAACAACGAATGCGTCAACGTGCGAGACCAGCTAAACTTTAGTCTACGGGCTTGCCTTGACAGGACCGTCACCCTTCTCCCCACACATTGCTTCGAGCTCGGCCTTGAAGTTTTGTGTCCACCTATGAATCGGCAACTCCGTGATCTCGAGCGTGGTCTCATCGATCTTGTTGACAACACCGATCACGTCGTACTTATTGTCGCCGACTTTCTTGATGGTACCAGTGAACCCACGCCAC